CCCCCCCCCTTTTTCCAGGGATATTTTATGGGTTCAAAGGTCTCCTGCTCCTCCTTGGGATCTTCTTGGCCTATGAGACCAAGAGCGTCTCCACCGAGAAGATCAACGACCACCGCGCCGTCGGCATGGCCATCTACAACGTGGCGGTAAAAACCACCCCAAACCACCCCAAAACCCACCTGGTGACCCCAAACCCCACCTGGTGACCCCAAATCCCACAGGGTGACCCCAAGCCCCTGTGGAGTGACCCCAAATCCCCAAATCCCCTAAAACCCCCCCACAGGTGCTTTGCCTCATCACGGCGCCGGTGACGATGATCCTGAGCAGCCAACAGGACGCCGCCTTCGCCTTCGCGGCGCTGGCCGTCGTCTTCTCGTCCTACATCACCCTCGTCGTGCTCTTCGTGCCCAAGGTGGGCTTGGGACCGATCCCAGAGACCCCACAGTCACCCCAAAACCCTGCAGTGACCCAAAATCCTACGGTGACCCCATAAATCCTACAGTTATCCCATAGATCCTACAGAGATCCTGTAGATCCTACAGAGATCCTATAAATCCTACAGTGACCCCACAGAACCCACAGTGACTACACAGACCCCACAGTGATCCCAAAACCCTGCAGTGACCCAAAATCCTGCATTGATCCCGTAAACCCTACAGTGATCCCATTGACCCTACAGCCATCCCACTGATCCTTGAACCATCCTATTGCCCCCCCCCTCCACCCCGTGGACCCCACAGTCATTGTTTTGGGGTCAATCCCATAAATGCCCCAAATGCAGATGCGGCGCCTGATCACGCGGGGGGAGTGGCAGTCGGAGCAGCAGGACACCATGAAAACGGGATCCTCCACCAACAACAACGAGGAGGAGAAATCTCGGCTCCTGGAGAAGGAGAACCGGGAGCTGGAGAAGATCATCGCCGAGGTCGGGGGAGAGAAAACCCCAAAGGGGGGATTGGGGGGGCCCCAAATAGGGGTTGGGACCCCAAATGGGGTTTAGGGGACCCTAAATGGGCCTGGGGGACCCCAAATTGGGGTTTGGGGGACCCTAAAATGACAGTTTGAGGACCTCAGATGGGGTCTGAGGGTTGGGGGAGACCCCTGCTGAGGGGGATTCCCGTTCCCAGAAGGAAGAGCGGGTGTCGGAGCTCCGGCAGCAGCTCCAGGACCGGCAGCAGCTCCGCTCCCGCCGCCGCCCGTCCAACCCTTCCCGGGAGAACGGCGACAACAACCACTTCCCGCTGGGATCGGGGGGAGCCCCCGCGGCCCCCCCGGGCGGGGGAGGGGGGACGGGACCCCCCTTCTACCAACCCAACCTGCCCCTCGTGCGCTGCCTCGTGTCCGAGCAGGCGGAGAAGTTGGGACGCGGGAATTGCGACGGGAGCCGCGTCCACCTCCTCTACAAGTGACCCCTCCCCCGGGGGCGGGGCCTCGACAGCTAATTGTTAATGAGGGTTTCGGGATAATTTGGGGCGTCTCGGAGGTTGTTTGGGGTGTTTTGCTCCCCCGGGAATTCCATGGAAAAGTGGGGTGGGAGGGGCTTAGATCAGGGGCGGGGCCTCTTTGACCAATTATTAATGAGGTTTTCGGGATAATTGTGCTGGTTTGGGGTGTTTTCCCCCTTTCCAGGAGTTCCAGGTGTTTCCTGGGATCAGGTGGAAAAGGGGTGGGAGGGGCTTAAATTAGGTGGGAGGGGGTTAAATAAAGAGGGAGGAGCAAGAGATGAGTTGGAAAAGTGGGAAGACCCTCCAAAATTCCCCGAAGATTGTCCCGGTCTCCTCTACAGTCAAAGCCCAGTTATCCCAGAAATCCCACAGCATTCCCATAATCCTACAGTTATCCCATAAAACCTACAGTTATCCCAAAAACCTGACAATCATCCCCAAACCCCCCCCCCCCCCGTTATCCCAAACACCTCACAGTTATCCCAAAAATCCTACAGTGATCCCAGAAATCCTACACTCATCCCAAAACCCCCAGTGATCCCACAAATCCTACACTCATCCCACAAATCCCACACTACTCCCGGTGCCTTCCTACCCCCTCTCCACCTGTAGCAATTCCCATCCCTTCCCCCCCTTCCCCATCCCAGGAATCCCCATAATCCCCTGTAGCTCCCTGACCCTGGGATCCCATTCCAGGGTTGTAACCCATGGGAATTCCCTGGGAATCCCCAAAGTTTTAGGTCCAGGCTTTGTCTCCAAGCCCGGCTTTGAATCCACGCAGGGTGTTGTTCCCAATCCCTCAGGAATGGGACGGATCCAGAGGGCGGGTTTTTGGGATGGGGGTGGATCCAGTGGGATCATCTGGATGGAATTCCATGTGTCCAGAGAATTCCCAAATTCCCAGACTGTTGTATCCGGGTCCGGCCCCTCCTGTACAGCCGCACTTTACTGGGAAAACCGGACTCTTTTCCTTCTTCCCGAGTGTCTCGTGTGGTGTTTTCCAGGGAAAACGGGGTCCAGAGGGATTGGTGGGGGGTCTGTTTTGGGACTTGGGGGGTCCCAGAGCCACATCCCAGAGTTTTAAGGGCCTTGGGAATTCTGGGATGGTTGGGAAGTGGTTCGGGAAAGGGTGGTCCCAGATTTTGGGCATTCCCAGAGTCTGGGTTTTCTGGGAGGGAGGTTGGAATTAACACCCAAAATATCCCTAAAAATGCCCTGCCCCCAAAACACCCCCCCAGATCCCAAATTCCAGGCACAAGGAATTCCCAGATTCTGAATTTTTGGGAGGGGGTTTGGAATTGACCCCCAGGACAGGTGGGGGGGATCAGAGAACAGATGGATTTATTTGGGGAGGGGTCCCCCCATTCCAGGGGGTCTCTAACGGTTGGATTTGGCCACACGCTCCAGCTCATCCTTCTTCTTGATGGCGTAGGAGTTGGAAGAGCCCTGGAAAAGTGGGAAAAGGGGGTTGAGGAGGGGCTGGGCAGGATTTTGAGGGGCTTTGGGGGGTCTGAGGGGTGGTTTGGGGGGTCTGGGTGTTCATTCCAACCCTCCCCTCCAAAAATTCAGGGATCTGGGAATTCCCTGTCCTTGGAATCTGGGGTCTGGGGGGGAGGTTGGGGGGGGGCTTTGGGGGGGGCGGGGGGGGAGGGGGGGGAGTGTTTTTGGGGCGGTTTTGGGGGTTTTTGGGGGGCTCTATGGGGTTTGGGGATTTGGGAATTATTTGGGAAGGCCTGGAGCAGGTTTTTGGGGCGGTTTTGGGGTGTTTGGGGTACCTTGGCTGCATTAATGAGCTCGTCGGCCAAACACTCGGCGATGGTTTTGATGTTCCGGAAAGCGGCTTCGCGGGCGCCCGTGCACAGGAGCCAGATGGCCTGGAACGGGAAAAACCGGGAATGAGGGGGGAAAAGTGGGAATGAGGGGAGGTTTGGGGGGGAAGTGGGGAAAAGGAGAAGAAAGGATAATGAGATCTCCTCAGGAACAGGGAGAATGGGAACCCTCTGGGAACAGAGTTAAGGAGCCCCCTGGGATTTGGGGATTCTGGGATCCCAGGATTTGAGGTCCCAGGACTGGGTGATTTGGGGTTCCAAGATTAGGGGTTTGTGGGACTTGAGATCCCGGGACTGTGGGATCCCGAGACTTGGGGATTTGGGGTCCCAGAATGTGGCGGTTCTGGGATTGAGGCATTCCAGGATTGGAGTATTTGGTATCCTGGGATTGGGGGGGATCCCTAGATTGCGGGATTTGAGATCCCAGGATTTGGGAATTCCAGGATTTGGTGATTCTGGGACTGGGGGATCCCAGGACTGGGGAGTTTTGGGAATTGTGGGATACCTGGTTGACCCTGCGCAGGGGGGACACGTCCACGGCCTGTCTCCGGACGGTGCCGGCGCGGCCGATCCGAGTCGAGTCCTCGCGGGGCCCCGAGTTGATGATGGCATTGACCAGCACCTGGAGGGGGTTCTGGGGGGAAGAACTGGGAATTCAGATCCTCCAGATCCCAAAATATCCCTCCCGGATCCCAAAAAAATCCTCTGCTGGAACCCCCCCCCCCCCCCCCCCCAGTTCCCGTGTCTTTCCCACCTCCCAAAGCTGCGTTCCACCACCGCAAAGGGATTTTTCCCCCGCCCGGAATCCCAACAACTCCCACGGAATTCCCACCTCCCCAGTGAGCACCTGGATGATCCCAAAGTCCCACTCCACGGTCCTGAGCCTCCTCCCATTATTCTGACCCATTTCCCCCCGTGTTCCCACGGAATTCCCACGTCCCCCGGACGATCTCGAAGCCGTGCGTTGCGACCTCGAAGGCGGGTTTGTTTTTTTCCCCCGCCCGCATTCCCACGGAAGTCCCACCTCGCCGGTGAGCAGGTGGATGATCTCAAAGGCGTGCTTGACGATCCTGACGGTCATGAGCTTCTTGCCGTTGTTCCTGCCGTGCATCATCATGGAGTTGGTGAGGCGCTCCACGATGGGACACTGCGCCTTGCGGAAGCGCTTGGCCGCGTAGCGCCCGGCGCTGTGCGGGAGGTACTTGGCGTACTTCTCCTTCACCGCGATGTAATCCTGCCGGGAACAACAGCAATTCCAGGCGTTCAGGGGCAGGGACCCTCCCCGCTCCGTAGGGACGCAGAGACAAGCCCGTCGTGCTGCTCTGGAGTCTCCTTTGCCCGCTCTGGATCTTTTTTTGTCCACCATGGATTCTTTTTTTCTACTCCGGATCCTTCTTTTCCCACTTTTCTCCTTCTCTGGATGCTTCCTTCCCCACCCTTTCCCTTCTCTATTGCCCACTCTGGATCCTCCTTTTCCCCTCCCTTTTCCTTCTCTTTTCCCACTCTGGGTTCCTCTTTTCTACTCTGCATCCTTCTTTTCCCACTTTTCTCCTCCTCTGGATTCCCCTTTTCCCCCTCTGGCCCCCCAGAATTCCAGGTCACCTGCAGGGAGATGTCGTTGATCTGCACATCATCCGTGCTCCACTTCCCAAAAAGTTTGATATCCGGAGTCTCGGTCACAGCTGGCGCTGTCTCCCAGTCGGTCATGCTGGAAAAAAACACGGAAAAACATGGGATCAACGTGGGAAAAGGGGCAGGGAAGGGGCTTGGAAAACGGGATCGCACTGAGATCCCTTCCCTTCCTGCTCTGGATCCCTCATTTCCCTCTCTTTTCCCACCGTTATCCCCGTTTCCTACTCTAGATCCCTCTTTTCCCACTCTTTTCACGTTTTCCTGCTGTGGATTCCTCTTCTCCCCTCTCACACTCTGAATCTCTCATTTCCCGCCGTGGATTCCCCTCATTCCCACAATTTTATCCCCCTTTTCCCACATTTTTATCCCCCATTCCAACTCTGCTCCCTTTTTTTTCCCAAATCCGTCAACCCTGCAAATCCCGACCAAACCCTTTCAATTAAATCCCAGGAAAACCGGCAGGATCCACTTCCCCTCCCCCCAATTCCCCCTTCAAACCCTTTTTTCTCCCCTCCCCGAAAGCCCCCGGCCTCGAACCCCCCTAAATCCCTTCTCAGGACTCCCCCTCACCCCCCGATCTCATTTTCCCCCTCAAAAATCCCACTTTTCCCCTCAGAATTCCCGCTTTCCCCCCCTTTCCCCGCTCACATGGCGGCGGTCCTGACTCCGACCGAGGAAAGGAGGGCCGATGGGGCTTCCCGGCCTCTTATGGAAGGGCTCGGGTTCGCTTCCGATTGCGCATGCGCAAACTTCAACATGACGTTGCTCTTCCGCCCTTCCTGCCCTCACTCCGCCTACTCTGGCCTCAATGCGCAAGCTGCGGCCGCCATGTTTGTTGAGGGCGCTCGCCCACACGCCGCCATATTTGTTGAGGGTGCTTGCCGCCATGAAGCGGAGTCATTTCACAGTAGAGGGCTAAAAACACGCGCGAAGGGGACAGAGTGGGATCAGGGAGCCCTAAAGGCGCCAAAGGGGGGGAGTCTCATCAGCATGCGCATGAAGCCATGTCCGCCATATTTCTTGAGGGCTCTCGCCCACGCGAGAGGCGTAAAAACTCACTATAAAGGGACAAAAACAGGCGTGGGAGGCACAGAGTGACCCTACAGAGGGGCATAAACACGCGCGGAGGGGACAGAGTCGCGTCAGAAAGCCCCGAAAGCCTCACGGGGCTCTCGCGGGTGGACAAGGAGCGGGGCCGCCTCCCATAGACCAATCAAGGCCCGCGTCTCCGTGGCGTCACCGGTTGCTAGGCAGATCTCTCGGGAGGTTTCTGGGGTGAAAAAGGCAGGAAAAAGGGCAAAGGAAAGTCGGGCACCCCCCTGGAGGGGGGGGGGGTGGGTGTCGTACAAGTGTCCCTCATGTCACAGCCAACCCCAAAATGACTGTCACAAAGGAGCATCTTTATTTCCATTTTTTGGGGACATTTTGGGGGGTTGGGGGGCTTGGAATCTGTCACAGACTCAATGTCGCTGTCCTGGGAGTCCTGGGGGTCCTCAGATGCTGCCTGGAGGGGGACAGGGGGTGGTAGAAGGGGGGACATCCCCAGAGGGGCTAGGGGACCCCATTTGGGGCCATTCGGGACCATTCGGGGTGGGGGGGGTGTCCTTTACCTGCACAGTTGTCACCTGGCAGAGGAGTGTAACCTGCAAAGAGGGGGGACACGGTGCTCAGGGCGGGGTTGTCACACCAAGACCACCCCCTCTTGTGGCCCCCAGGGGTCTCACCTGGAATTGGGGCCTTCTTCTGGTACCTCCAGAGGCCGAAGGAGAAGAGGAGGAGCCCCAAAACCACGGCCAGGGTAGCCAAGGCCACCAGCAGGGACAGCCGTGGGGACAGGCCTGGAGCTGGGGTAGAACAGGAGGGTTAGGGGGGTTTAGGGGGGGCTGGGAAGGGTTTTAGGGGGGCTGGGGGGATTATGGGGTGTTTTGGGGGGTCTTACAGACTTTTGGGGGGTCTGGGACAATTTTGGGGGGTCTGATGAGATTTTGAGGTGAATCTTTGGGGGGTTCTGGCAGGATTTGGGGGGGTCCTGGGGGGTCTAATGGGCTTTTGGGGCGTGCCTTTGGTGGGTTCTGGGAATATTTGAGGTGTTCCAGGAGGATTTGGGGTGACTTTACCCCCCCCCCCCCAACACCTACCAGGGGGGTGGCCCCGCCGCCCCCACCCCCCAAAACCCCCCCAAGCCCCCCAAATGCTCACCCCAGTCCTCCAGGAGGGGCTGCTTGAGGCTCGGGTGCTGCACCAAGCATGTGAAGGTGTCCCCGGGCTCGGGGGTCACCTCGAGGGTCCCCTCGCTCCTGTAGCTCCAATCCCCCATGGGGACGATCGGGGGGGGGCCCGGGGGGGCCCTGGGGCTCCAGGACCACCCCGTTCCTGAGCCAGGCCAGGCTCAGCTCGGGGGGGTAAAAGCCCCACACGTGGCACGTCAGGACAAGGGGGGTCTGGGCGTTCCCCGGCGCCGAGGGGACGATGAGGATTTTGGGGGGCACTGGGATAAAGGGGGGGGTTGGGGGGATG